TTTTTTTTTTTTTTTTTTTGGTTTTTCAAGACAGGGTTTCTCTGTGGCTTTGGAGCCTGTCCTGGAACTAGCTCTTGTAGACCAGGCTGGCCTCGAACTCACAGAGATCCCGCCTGCCTCTGCCTCCCGAGTGCTGGGATTAAAGGTGTGAGCCACCACCACCTGGTAAAATTGACTTTTTTATGTTAATGATCTCCCACTTATCCTGTCCCTCCTTTCTTCCTTTCCATTCCCTCACTTCCTTCCTCTTTCCTTTCTTGCTTGCCTGCTTCCCAGTAGTTGGGAGGTAGAGGTAGTAGGAGCTCAGCCTGGACTATGTGATACTTCATCTCAAAAAACAAAAACCAACCAAACAAACAAACAAACAAAATACCACACAGAAAACCTAAAGAAAGGGACTGGAGTGATGGCTGAGCAGTCAAGAGTGTTCTTTTAAAGGACTGGCGTTTCTCTTCCCAGCGACTCACAAATGCATGTAACTCCAGCTCCAGCTCCAGGGCATCTGATATCCACTTCTGGCTTCCTAGGACTGGGGGACACACAACACACATTAAACAATAAAATTTAAATTAAAAAGAAAAAAAAGATAGCCACCTGGATGGGGGAAGAAGACTAAAGGGTTTTAGATTTGGAACCATGGTCTGTCCAGGGTGAGGTGTCTAGCAAAGGTTAGTCACACACAAATCACCACTGGCTGTCTTGAATACCCTTTACCAGAGGACATGTACTCAGAGGAGCCACCTAAGAAAAAATTTCTCCCAAGGTTCCCTTTACATGTGGCAGAGCCACCATGATCCTTTCCTTAGGTGAAACAGGTGCTAAGAGCGGGCGGCCTTTATTATTTTCTAACTAGTTATGTCTGCAGTATTTCTTTCCTTTTTAAGATGTATTTTTTAAGGTATATGAGTGCTCTATCTGCATGTGTGCCTTTAGACCAGAAGAGGGCATCAAATCCCACTATAGATGATTGTGAGCCACCATGTGATTGCTGGGAATTGAACTCAAGTCCTCTGGAAGAACTCTTAACTGTTAAGTCATCGCTCTAGTCCTGACTGCAGTATTTCTTTGGATAGGACTATGGCTAAGAAAAGAATTCCTAGCTGGGTGTGGTGGCATATGCCTTTAGTACCAGCTCTCTGGGAGGTAGAGTGGATTTCTGAGTCTGAGTCCAGTTGGTCTATAGAGTTCCAGGAAAGCCAGGGCTATACAAAGAAACCTCGTCTTGAAAAAACAAAAAACAGAATTCATTCAGTATCTTTTCAGCCTTGTTTTCAATTTGCTTCTTATTATCCATAGTTCATTTATGGAAACCAGCACATTATTATTTTATTTGAATGTGTTTTCGTGTCCTGACATTCTTAGTGGGTGTCTGTTCCGTGGCATTGACTGTGGAATTGGGCTTTCCCAGCATAGAGCTTGCTGATCCATGTGGGGGTGTTTGCTGTGGGTCCTGGCAGGCCCTTGAGCTCACATTCTCAAGCTGGCTGTAGTTCTTTCGGAAAAATCATCATCTTTGTCACTGTAACCCAGCCTGATGCTTCAGGGGTAGAAAGGGAACAATGAGGGAAGGATGGGACAGAGCTGTCCTGGTTTGGCCTGAAAAGACAGGTGCAGGAGTGGTAGTTTTGACAGCAGCTCTCCCCTCTATACCTGTCCTTTCTGCTTACTAGTTGGTATGTCATGGGGCCTTTGAGAGCTTCAATGATTTATACCAGCACTGCTGCAGAGAGGGTTTGTAGTGAGTCTCATTGTGTCCCGCTAGTCAGCTCCTAAATACTGACATCATTATTAATTATGAAAGCTTGGTCTTAGCTTAGGCTTGTCCCACTAGCTCTTATAACTTAAATTAACCCATATTTTTAAATCCATATTCTACCACGCGGCTTTTACCTCTGTCCCATTCTGTGTGTCCAACTTGTTCCACATCTCCATGGCCTCTCTGCCTCTCTTCTTCCCAGAGTTCTCTCTGTGCCTGGAAGTCCCACCTAGACCTCCTACCTAGCTATTGGCCATTTAGTTCTTAAATAAACCAATCAGAAGGTGCCTTGACAAAGACATCTTCACAGTGTACAAAAAGATTCCCACAAGAAGGGCTAAACTTTAAACACACATGACCCTTTCTGGTAATAAAGGCTGTTCAAGCCATTGTACTTCTGAACATCCTGAGCCCTGGTGTTCAGGATATTGCTAGATAATACCGAACAACCATCTCACATTCCCAATAGGAAGACATTGGGTTCTTGTCCATTCCTGAGACCCTCAGGCCTGTGATTGGCCCTTTGGCCCCAAGGAGTACCTAGCTTGGCCTCCTTTATTATACTGTTTTCCACAGTTAGGAGTGATTTTGGAAGCTAGGTGTGGTGGCCAACACCTATGGTCCCAGTACTCAGGAGGCTGAGGCAGGAGGATTGCTGTAGGTTGAGGCTAGCCTTTCTACATAGTGAGTTTCAGTTTAGTCTGTGCAAGACCCTGTCTGGAAAAAAACAAAACAAGACAAAATGGGGCTGGAGAGATGGCTCAGTGGTTAAGAGCATTGCCTGCTCTTCCAAAGGTCCTGAGTTCAATTCCCGGCAACCACATGGTGGCTCACAACCATCTGGAATGAGGTCTGGTGCCCTCTTCTGGCCTGCAGACATACACACAGACAGAATATTGTATACATAATAAATAAATAAATATTTAAAAAAAAAAACAAAACAAGACAAAATGTTTCTGGGAAGGTTATCAGAGGACACTAAATTCTGTGAGTAACACATGGTAATGGTGCTTCACAGATGACTGACACAGCCCTTAGGGAGGGGTTTTGCACAGGGTATATGCATGAACTCTAACACAGCCTTATGACGCCCCCCACATTTTTCTTCTTCTGTCATTAGCTGCATTACTCTGTCTGAAGATTTCCCTTTGTTTTCATTCTTAAAGGACTGCCACCAACACCAGTACAGCTGCTCTATCCAGTGTCCAGATTCAGCAATGTCAAGTCCCTCCAGCATCTTTGCAGATTCCGGATTCGGCAGCTTGTGCGAATAGATCATATCCCGGATCTCCCACTGCCTAAGTATAATGGGTTCATCAGGGTTAGGGCAGGGGTGGTGGGTTAGAAACGCCTTTGAAGCTTGCAAGTTGCTCCCAGAGGCCAAACCCAGTATAAAATATTTGTAGGCAGTATTCTTTCATTTCCCCGTGTCTTAGCACTTAACTCTAGAGTTGTATTGTTGGAGCAAAAAGGAAGCTATGTCTGTTGGCCTCATTCTGCAGGCCTTGGGCAGAGTGCAGAGCAGTAAAATGAGGGAGTAAGGAGCGAGGTGAGAATTTTATCAGGTTGGCAAAGACTGTTCAGTAGTCGTAGCCAACGGAGAAGGGAGGGTTCAGCAAGAGAGGTTTCTTAAAAGAGACAACAGTCAATTTCCTGAGAAGTGTTCTCTTAAACAGTACACCCTGTGTTTGTTTGCTTTTCACAGACCTCTGATCTCTTACATTCGAAAGTTTTACTACTATGATCCTCAGGAAGAGGTATACCTGTCCCTAAAGGAAGCGCAGCTCATTTCCAAACAGAAGCAAGAAGTGGAGCCCTCCACGTAGCAGCGAGGGCCTCTGCTGTTCAGCATAAGAAGGTAGGAACACCCAGCCACTTTATCAAGCCACTAGACACTTCCTGAGTATACTTCTGACCCACGCATTTGTTTGATAATTGGTTCCCTAGTAGGTACATACTTCATTTGAAGAAAAACACAACAGGCATGAAGGCTTAAAGCAGTGGTTCTCAACCTTAATGCTTCAACTCTTTAATACAGTTCCTCATGTTGGGGTGATCTCCAGCCATAAAATTATTTTTGTTGTTGCTTCACAACTGTAATTTTTGTTACAGTTATGAATTGTAATGTAAATATTCTGATTTCTGTGGGTGCTGTGCCCTGCAAGAAACTCACAACAACAGGAGCACATTCAGAAGGCCTCAGATGTTGGGGGGTAGGGGCTCCAGACATCGTCATACAGAAGGATATGTTTGGACTAAAAATACAATTAACCAGAGAATTAGGGTGGGCAACTGAAAGAAGTCTTTGAGGGTTTATGTCCTTTGTGGCTTTGTGATACAGGACAAGGATCAAAATGAACAGAGGCAGCTGAACATCTGCTGGTACAGTATTGTCCAGCTGCCATTCCTCTGTGGAGCTGATCTTCCGACCTCCAGTGCTCTGCAACGCTGTTTGAACTGTGGTTTTTGTTTTGTTTCCCTTCTACCTAGGTGTTTTGATTGCCAAGCTCCAGTTTGAAGAACCAAATGAAGCTACCACAAAAGAAGAACTTGGCAGAAAGAGAGAATAGAGAGGGTTGTGATTCCCGGCACAGACTTTGGTTAAACTGCTGCTCTGGGGCTTCAAAGAAGCACACAACCATCCTCCAAGTGGGGCTCCCTGTTCTACCCAACCCTGTGCCACCCCAGAGATGAGCTCCTTGGAAAACTGGAAGAAGTCTTAACACTGTTTCTTTTCACAAGTTATGTTTTGATATTTACATTTCTCAGTGTAGAAAACTCAGTCAAAGGCAGCTGGGGTTTGTACCCATTGAAATGAAAGTGGTGTTGGGATGAGCAGGTCAGAGGAAAGGGGAGGGGAGGGCTGGTGGGTCGGCTGGTGCCAAAGGCAGCATTGAAATCTTTTCCATGACCCTGGGGGAAGAGCAGGGGAGCCAGAGACATAAAAAAGAATGAGATTGGTAGTTTCTGAGGAAAGGCGTCTGATTCTCATCTCCAGCTTCGGTAGGAGATGAGTGAAGGGGTGATGGGTAAAGAGAAACTGGCTGGTCTTGTTGCTGGAGGAATAGTGACTCCCCACTCCTTTCCTTTAAGGGTTACAAAGCTGATTTCAGAACCGCCTCTCATGGAATCGGTGTTCATTTTGTTGTGCTAAATTCCTTAAGCTCAGTGACCCGAGGCAAACCCAGTTTTCCCTCCATCCTCACCCTTTCCCCCCTCATAACTGTACATTTCCCTTTGGTTATAACAACACCCCATTGCTTCTGCCAGCTGTCAAGGCAGGAGTGTTTCTTGTCACCTGGGCAGTTCAGAGCTCCAGTCCTGGGCTGCTGAGGTTAATGGCACATGCTTCCAGGTTCTTCATGGCAAAGCATACCTACAGCTGAGGAGTCAGTGTTCCCCCATCTGTCAGCTAGTGAGAGGAAATGTGGAAGGAGTGAGAAACAGCTATTGTGCTTTTAAAGGAGCCTGCGTGTCTCAGCCTTAATGGGATTTCCATAGAGCAGAAAGAGTCTCACGATCATAGATTTATCATTGTCATCCCACCTCTGGGATGGGAGGTGGCAAGGGCTTCCTCATTTTCCCATGTTCATTCTTGCAACCCAGATATTTCCTGAGTCAGACCGCATTGCCCTTCCTTTCCTGGGAAGTCTATCAGATGCTAGTTTGAAAGTTGCCTGTTTTCCAGATGGATGTGAAGAGAGGGAAGAATGTCAGTGCTTGAGTTGTCTGTCTGAAGCCTGCCGTGGCTCTCCTGCAGTTACTCTGGAAGAAGTAGCGGTCAAGATGAACAGTGTATTTGTGGGTCTTCTTTACTCTCCTCTAGTGTTCCATGTGACAGCCTTCGAGTTCTCTCTGCTTGTATCTGCCTTATATGACAAACTGAACATCATCAGGTCTGGAGTTCGGGTGGTTTAGGGTGAAGCCCTGTGTCTTGGAAAATTAGAAAACTGTATCTTCTGGAAAGTGGCCTGTGGGCTCCTCTGCATGGAATCGCCTTCTTCCTCCTTTAGCTAAACAGAAAGGGAATGAGCTTCCTCAACTGGCTGGAAAGAAATGAACTGTGTGCGTGTCAGTCTAGCCCACTTCTGACATGTCTCATGGTACCCTTTTCCTCCTTGACTTCATATGACCAACAGCATAAGATCAGAGATTGGTGTACCTGTAAGCCCTGCCTCTGGAGGGTACAGGTCACTCACCATCATATATACAGAAAGGGCTGTTCTGCAGTAGAGCCCCAAATCTAGAATCCATAGAGATCTTCAAGTGGTTTTGGAAGGGATTCTTTCTCCAACTTCAGCCACTCATAATTTAAAAATTAGTGTTCATCTTGTGTTTGCATGACTCTGAGCTAGGTAGCGTGGAAGGACATATGAGGTGGAAGACAAGACCCCTTCCCTGAGGGAACTGTAAAGTGACTGTTGCATGTGAAGGAACACTCATTGCAGCGGGAGATCCGGGGCCATCGAGAAGATAGAGTGGGTGTGATCAGGGTAGACCAGATGGTCTAGGAAAGCTCTGTGGTGATGAGGCTTTGGGTTGTAGGCGAGGGCAGTGAAACAGAACACTCAAACTAAAGTACAGGAAGAGAAATCTGCATGACACGTGTGCAGCTACCTTAAATAGCATCAGAATCCTACTTGACTGCAAAGGTCTAGATCGAAATTCCCCAGTAGTTGCACAGGTCTGAAGGCTAAGGGGGTGCGAGGGTGTGGTGGAGGATAAGACCAGAAGTCAGCAGACACCTCTGTGGTCCTGGGGTTACCAGTGGAGAATTTATATGCTCAGGTGCAAACCAGACCTGCTACAGAGCATGGGCAGCCTCACCCTTTGTGTCCTGGGAAAGTGGGTTGCACTGTGCTCACAATTCTGCATGTATTTCAGACACAGACCCTTTCTTGGCAGAATGGGCTGCAAAACAGCAGTGTAGGAGACAGCTCCATGAGGCCTGGCTTGGCACATGGGAGCCTTGGGTAGAAGAGAGTGGTTGGGGAGAGCAGTACTGTAGGCTGCCTGGAGAAGGGAGCAGGAACAAGGCCAGAAGCCAGCATTGGCCTTCACCCTTTGCCCATGCTGCGCAGTTGTAGTGGAAATGCAGTCCACTTGTCTTTGGTGGTTATGTGCCAATCACAGACCAGGGAAGGCTGTCGCTAGAGACCTGCTGTGGAGCTGTGGTTGGGGGTCACTACTCCCAGACCCGGCCTGTAACCTTCCTCGAGACGGGTATGTGCCAGTGTGAGCTAGTGACAGCCACTGCTGCAACCTGTTATTACTTGAAATGCTGCCTGTGCCAGTAGCATAGGCATGGGGGAGCAGGGGCTGGGCTGTGGGGTCCAGCTGTCCTGGTTTGATGTTTAGGCTGATCATGGCCTTGTCTCCTGCTTATGCCAAGGTGAAGAAAATGTAGATGGCAGTGCCAGCCTCTTGAAAAAGCTCTGAAGTGTCCCATAGTTTCCGGTTTCTCCTTTCCTACTGTCACTTAGGCTGAGCTGCTGTTTGAGCCAAGCAGGGAGTGATGGGATGGCTACACATTCCCTTCTGATGCCGCTCCCGTAAGGAGTAGGGAACAGTTCAGAGTACAGCCCCAGGGAGCCTGCCCCATGCTCCTAGAAGGGCATGGCCTTCTTGAATCCCCTATCCCAGTGGGAAGTAGGGATAGGAGAAATTTCCCCAGGTAAGATATTTTCCTTCCTTGTTGCCTCTCCTGATTTTTGAGCCCAGGAGTCAGAGGTCAAGTCACTGAGATGTAAGGAGCAAGGTCTAGAAGTGTATGTGTGTCCTCATTTGTAGAAGTCTTGTCTGCAGTTGGGATGTTGGGATATCTCCACTGGCGGGGACTAGGATTTGTTTTCCACTTTAAGAGAATGGCATGCCCCCTGTGTGGAGGGGAGGAGCTTTGAGTTAGACATTTTCCCTATGGGAATCCTCTTGGTCTGGTTTGTGGGAAGAGGGGAGTGGATACGTGGTTTTTATTTCTAGTCATCAGCACAGCTGTCCTTACACTGAATTTGTGCTATTGCATACATGTAGCCATCTTTCTTTTCACTGCAGCAGTGTTTATCAGTAGTTCAAAATGATTTATTTGCTCCTGGGGAGTAAAATCTTTTTTATTAAAAAGGAAAAAAAAAAAAAGAAAAAAAAAGAAAGAAAGGTGTGCCCCATTATGATAGCTGTAGAATTACTGGTCCACAAGAATCAAGTCTGCAAGTCCCCATGCATGGTACATCCTGTTTTGGCATTGGAGCCTTTTGTGCTCGATACAGTGTGCCAGGAGGCCTTCCTTTAACAAGTGGAGAAGAACGTTTTGGGGAGCGAGATGGGACTGAATCACCGAGAGGGCTCTGGGGACTCGGTGCTGCAGTTGAAAATAGAGTACCGATTCAGTAATCTGCCAGAGGAGGGAACCTTTCTTTTTGTGCAGATTTCATGTGTCCGTGACCTTTCATTGCTTCCTGGTGTCCTGGTAAGGGTCATCTAGTCTCTTCTGGCGTCCCTCTTGTCTTTCCTGTCCTTTGTCCTGTCCCTTCCCACTTCATCTACCTCCCAGAAAGCCAATCCTGCATGCTGAGTTTGTGACATGCCTTCACTCCCATTTCATCTTCAGAGGGTTTAAGAGGGTCCCTGGAGCTGCTCCCTGCCCCTCCGATCCTCCTCACAATGCTCGAGGCGTCAAGGAGCAAACAAAAGCAGCCAGCTGTAGCGGGCACACAGCAACAGTGGATCGCAGCTGGACTGCGATGGCAGCTGCTTCTGGAGACAGATAGGGAAAACAAGACAGTCTTCTTCAGCCCCCTTGGGTGTGACCCCCATTGTGCACACAGCTCAGTGGACAGTGGCCTGGTCTGACCACTCCATCCCTGGTGCTCCCAAGAGGGACAGGCAAGATCCAGGCACCGACCTGGGCAGGCCAGACATTGGGATGCCCACACTGGTGCTGCATGGCACAGGCACTGCTGTGCATTCTGGTGGTTTTTCAGAAACTGCGTGCTGAGGGGTGTCATTCTGGACTCAGTGGTTAGGGGGTTCTTCACTAGAGGGGAGCCATACCCCTGCAACCACTCTGTTCTGCTCAGCCACCCCTGTCCTCTGAGCCAAAGCCTGGCCTGGTTTTTGTCTTCCCATTTAGTTTTCCTTCTTATTCTCCCTTTTTGTGCTTAATTTATTAAAATAGTTGCTGTATAATTTATTTTCATAAAGTATAAAAAATAACTAAATGGTTAAAATAGACTTGCAGGCCAATCTTAAATGGGTGGGGGGTCTGGGGTGGGATGGGGAGAGGAAAAGATGTTTTGATATAAACAAAACAAATGCACTTTGGGTGTGTTGGTATTTTTCTGGGCATAGAGGGGCGGGTGTTGGGATGTCCCTGTAGATTAGTTCCAGAATGGGGTGTCTGTAAATACTGTATCAATAGGCATGTTGACTCTTGTAAAGGGACATTAGTAGCTGCTGCAGGTCCTGTTTGGAAACCCTGTGTATAATTCCCGGTTTTTTGTAAGTGTCAGTGCGGGAGACATTTGACTCTTGTGTTTGTATCTCCTTTTTATGATTGCTGTACCGACCCATGTCTTTTTGGGGAGGGATGAAAAGAGATTTGAAATAAAAATGTTTAGAAATGACCTGTTACTGGAATTCATGTTTTTCGGTCTCTCTCCTGTCTCTGCACCCTCCCTGGGCATGGGGTCCCTGCACTGGCAGCCATGCAGAACACACCCAGTACCCTCTTTAGAGTAAAGTTTTTGGAAAATTCCTGAGGCTGATGGCCACTGCCCAGAGCTGCCCTACGAAGTGCAGGAGCATTCCAGAGGACCTTGGAGAGAGTGGGCAGGTGCCTGCAGCCTTCCTGCCTGGGTGAGCCGAGGCACAGTGTAGAGTGGTACATTTTACGTGGCAGTAGCCATTCTGGTGAGGCTAGCCTTAAGCTTCTTTGCCACTTTTCCAGCCTGGCCCTCCCAGCTCTTGTGCAAGGCCGTCACTTTCTTGATTGGTGCAGGGCTGTACTGGGAACTACTTCAACTCCACCTACCCTTCCCCACTTAGTCTTCTGCTTTCTGCTGAAGGGACCAGTGTGCTGCCTGGAAATTTGTGTGTAGATTTCCTGCTGAATTCCCTGGGCAGCTTCTTCCTTAGGCTAATCAGGCGGGCTCTAGGAGTTATGCTGCCCCTATCAGCTCATGTGGGAATGGAAGGTCCTCGTGATAAAACTGTTCCTTGGTCCTGACAATGATAATAACTCCTGAGTAAAATTTCCTTCGTTCTTGAAGGAAAAGGTGCCTCCAACAATAAAGTCAACAATATAATGGGTAGGTTTCACTAGCCCGTCACACGCAGGCCTCATGTAGAGTGTGTTAGAGTGTGCTATCGGAATATACTTTCCAAATGTAGCACTGATGGTCATTGTTCCAACTCCAGATCACTCAACATGGTGAGTCCTGGTGGACTCAGCTTAAAGCTAGGCCCGGGCCTTCTGACTTGGACCATAAAACCCCTGGAAGAATGAGCATCCTTTGGTAAACTTGGGCCCAAAATGTTCTTCACGCTACAACTGGTAACCACCTTTTCACCCGCGGTCTTACCCACTTGCAGCTGCTGCCTCTTGTCCCAAAGGCTGGCCCGTCCCCTCCCATGGCAGAGCTCACCATGCACGTGCCTAACTTACAAGTCCATTGCACACAGCAGTGTGGAAGATTCCCCTGCTATAATGGCCGATGTCCCCTGGTGGAGATTACATAAGGAAAGTTTCTCCGTCTTTCTTGACTCCTCCCACATCTCAGTATGAGCATCTCACCTCCTGACTCTTCTGCATATTTGTGCCAGTTGGACTCTGAGCACCCACTGTTTTTCTTTGTTGTTCGGTCAAAAGCTGAAGAGTTCATTCAAGCTCCTAAGTGAATTGTCATTGGGACTCCTTCCCAAGAGATTCAGAAGGAGGGTATTTTTTGCATTGTTAAACTCTACTTTGGTAGAGTTTTTTTTTTTTTTTTTTTTTCTTTTCCTAAGGCAGGGTTTCTTTGTGTAGCTTTGGAGCCTGTCCTGGAACTTTCTCTATAAACCAGGCTGGCCTTGAACTCACAGAGATCTGCCTGCCTCTGCCTCCAGAGCATTGGGATTAAAAGCAAGTGCCACCACTGCAGGCAGGTATCCCCCTTTTTATCTAAACAGTTTCAGCAATTTCCCAAGTGGCCTTGCTTCCTGTTTCCTCCTTCCCATTCTTTAAAAAACCTTCTAGGGGCTGGAAATATATGGCTCACTGGCTAACAGCACTTGTCTTTGCAGAGGATCCAAGTTCAATTCCCAGCACCCACATGGCTCACAAACATCTGTAATTCCAGTTCCAGGGGTCTGATACCTTCTGGCCTTCATGGGCAACAGACACACCTGGTACATACGTGCAGACAAAACATTCATACACACAAATCTTTTTTAAAAAAAAATAATTCCAGGCTGCTCTTTCAGAGGGTTTTTTCCCCCCAGGCTGAGCCTCAAACTCACAGAGATCCACCTGCCTCTGCCTCCCAAATGCTGGGATTAAAGGCATGCTCCACCACGGCCAGGCTATTCCAGAGGTTCTGAGTTCAATTCTCAGCAACCACTTGGTGGCTCACAACCATCTATAATGAGATCTGGTGCCCTCTTCTGGCATGCAGGCAGAACACTGTACATAGTAAATGTTAAAAGAGGGGGGGTGCTGGGGAGATGGCTCAGAGGTTAAGAGCACAGACTGTTCTTCCAGAGGTCCTGAGTTCAATTCCTAGCAACCACATGGTGGCTTACAGCCACTGGTAATGAGGTCTTGTGCCCTCTACTGGCCAGCAAGCATACAGACAGAACATTATAAAAAAATAAATCTTTTTAAAAAATATTTATTTATTATGTATACAATATTCTGTCTGTATGTATGTCTGCAGGCCAGAAGAGGGCACCAGACCTCATTCCAGATGGTTGTGAGCCACCATGTGGTTGCCGGGAATTGAACTCAGGACCTTTGGAAGAGCAGGCAATGCTCTTAACCACTGAGCCATCTCTCCAGCCCCCATAAATAAATCTTTTAAAAAAGCCCTGAGGCAAAATGGAGATGAGGAGAAACAGATTAACAAGAACTAAGATAAGGCTGAACATTCATAACTAATAACAAGTCTCCATGTCATGATTTGGGCTCCCCCCCCAAAAAAAAAGCCTGTTAACACCTGTCTAAAACTAAAAATAAAAAATTCCTTCTACAAACCACATGTAAGGGCCTGTGAGAAGGCTTAGCAGGCAAAGGTACTGGATGCCAAGGCTGGCTACCCACGTTCAATGCTTGGATCTGGAGGCACGTGATGAAAAGGAGAGAAGCGACCTGAAAATTGTCCTCTGACCAACACACACACAGAGGGTACACACTTAGACGGGGGGGGGCATGAATGGGGCGGGGCTGGGATGGAAACCACACTGGACTGGAGAAAGAAGCAACTTTGGAAGAAGTTTGAGGCTCACTGGCTAGGGGAGAACCCAGCATGTGTGAGGAGGCTGGGAGAGCAGCGGAGTATGTATGGCGAGGTAGGTCTCAGGCTGGGCAGGAGCACTAGGCTGTAATCACACTGCCAGCTCCTGAACCTGCCTTATGCCAGGCTGAATCTCCCCCAGGTGTTTGGAGAGAAGCGGGATCAGGACAGGGCACGGGCACGGGCACGCCCTTCTCTGTTGACCTGTAACACTCGGGCTAGGGCTGGCCAAACTGAACTGGGCAGTGAACCTTCAACAGGGAAAGGAATTCCGAGGGCGGCTGCTGCACCTAGGACAGGAACTTCGCCTGGTTCTGGGAGCTCTGGGGCCAGGGGTCGGCGTGGACGGAGCTAGATGAGCCTTCGAGCTTTTCCTGCCACCTAGTGGCTGCTCTGAGCCAGGCCAGCCAGCTCTCAGGCTGGTATAGTGGGTGAGGCCGGGATAAATATTCACAAATTCACAATCCTCTTTTGCGGCCAGATTTCGTCTTGGCCAGTCGGGGACTCTGGCTTCTCCGGCATCCTCTGCCTGGCCATACGTGTGTGTGTGTGTGGGAAACCTTTTTGAGGTGCAGAGAGAGCCATGTTTTCTCGACATGCGCGGAGCTGAGGCCAACAACCCCACATTGGTGGGTGCCTGTCCCTCTCCGGCTGGCTTGACGATGGCTAGTGACAGGCGGGACTCCTGCCCGGCTTGGTGTCATCCTAGAATTCTGTGTGATTCTCTAAATATGTGCTGTTTCGTGCAGGTCCTTGAGTTTCCCCCAGCCTTTCTCCCCCTACCTCCTCTAGAGGATACGTCCCTTTTTCTCTAAGATGACAAGGGCCAACAGGCACTCCGAGGCCTGCTGGGGAAAGCCAATCTGGCCTGTGCTACTCCTGGGTCTCCTGTCTAGACCTCGCCTAGGGGAGAAGGCTGCTTGAGCTGAGATTTTCATTGCATCATGTCAGGCTCCTACCCAGAAAGCTGCTGCAAGAATTTGGGGGAGGGACCAGACCCTGGGGGAGGAGTTTCAGGAGGGATCCAGGCAGGAGTCGTCTGAAGAGGCCTCGTGACCGGCTGTGAATCCCGAGTAAGGCGTCCAGGGACACCTGTGTGCACTCGGGTGCCCGCCACCTTTCCCAATTGACACCCACTCTCCCTCTCCAGGCCTGGCAGCCTCAGCTGCACCCGGCCAGATTGCATCATGCTTGGCTTTGTTCTCAAAGAAGCAGGTGCAGGGAGGACCGCTTCCCTCTCCTCCTTTCCACTCCCTCCTGGGCCACCCTCCTTTCTCACCTCAGGGTTCTCAACGCCCCATTAGAGGGAGGAAGGCAGACTAGGCTGTATCACTGTGGTCCCCCCTCAAAAGGAACACCAGGTGGCAAAGCAGGATACAGACTATCAGAACTGAATGACAAGGTCAGAAACAGTCTCCTGCTTCTAAAGCTAAAAATAACACAAGCTGAATTAATTCAACCCCTGTAGGAAGTACGAAGTGTGTGTGCACGCAGCTCGTTCGCGGCACCCAGTGCTTTCTGCCCATGTTCTCTGTGATCTTTTCTGCCCCTGTTTTCCGTTGGAGTGCAGAGATGTGAGAATACTTGCCCAAGACCACGGGGTCCCTCAGGTAGACCTTGGACTTGAGTCTTGGTCTGTTTGGCTTTTGACAGACTTCACCAAGAGACGGCTGGAAAATTCTATGCTGACCGGAACTAAACATTTTCTTTAAAGGGAGGCTTAGAGTTGGCAGTAGGGATTCATACCTGCAATCCTAGCAGTCGGGAGAGAGCTCCAGGAGGAGGGTTCCCTGGCTTCAAGACGAGCCTGAGCTCTGTACTTAGTTTAAGGCCAGTCAGGATTACAAGGGAGACTTTGTCTAAAAATATAAGGAAGGGAGTGTATTGGAGGGGCCAACACACTCATTAGGAGGCGAGAATGTCTGCTTGTCTTTTAATGTGAGAAAAGAACTAAGCTTCATAACAGGTGACCAGGCTGTGCCAGTCCTGTCCCCACTGCTCTACCCCTCAGGTGGTGCAGCTGCTGCAGACTCTGACTTAGACAGGGTGCCAAAAGGTAGGAGCATGTCCAGGTCCCGAACCAGGTAAGATAGGTATATGGGCTTTTACTGGGGATCCATGTAATGCCCAAAGGC